GGGCTATGGGAGCAGCTGGATTTCTACATTAAGCAGGGCCTTCGCTGCACCATTCAACGGTGCACGGAAGGCTACAAACTGATGGTCTCGGCCGAAAATCACTACAACGCAGTCCAGGCCCTCTTGGACAGGATGAAGCTGGAGTACTTCTCCCACGACGTCGAGGCCACCAAGCCGCTGAAAGTGGTGCTGCGCGGGCTCCACGACATGGATACCACCACCTTAATGGACGAGATTAAGGCGAACGGCCTCAAGTCGGTCGAAATCCACAAGATGACCCGCAGCAAGGCCATCAAGTATCGTGACCAGCTCTACCTGGTCCATCTGCAGAAGAACTCCACAACCGTGAAGGATCTCCAGACGACACGCACACTGTTCCACATCGTAGTGAAGTGAGAGCGGTATAAGCCGACCCACCGTGGCGTCACTCAGTGCTCGAACTGCCTATTGTTCGGGCACGGCACCAGGAACTGCCGCATGGCCAGCCGCTGCATCAAATGCGGCAAAAACCACAAGATCGACGACTGCGACAGCATCGAGGAAGCCGCTCCCACATGCGCCAACTGCGGTTCCGCCCACAAGGCCACGAGTAAGGCCTGTCGGAAGCGGGCCGAATACGCCGAGATCCGGAAGAAGGCCTCGTCCAACAACCAGCCCGGTCGCAAGAAGGTCCCGGAAAACAACGCGCAGAACTTTCCTCCGTTATCACCGGTCCAACCACGGTCAATTCCAGTGTTGGCGCCGCTCCCGCTCAACCAACAGTTGGCTGCTGCCCAGTCGGCTGCCGCTGCAGTACCCGGTCAAACCTCCGGCCCATCGACGGATCCCCCTGCTCCGGGATTGGCAGGTACAACCGGCGAAGCATCCTACGATTCTCCGCTGTCAACGGATGAGATCGTCACACTGCTGGCCCAGTCCATCATCATCAAGCGCACCTGCGCTACAAGAACACAACAGCTCCTAGCTATCATCTCCTTAGTCGCTAATTATGGACCGTGAAGACATAAAGATCGCCAACTGGAACGCTCGCTCCGTAGGGGCGAAAAACATTGAGCTTGCAGACTTCCTCCGCAAGCACGACAATGTACCGTTAGCAATGGTACAGCACATCAGTTCAAGAACGACTTTGCCATCATAACCCGCACCAATGCCCGCTTCGTAATCGGAGGGGACCTGAACGCCCGGCACGAGGCCTGGGGAAACTACCAGCAGAACCAGAACGGCCGCCTATTATTCGACCATTCCCAGCATGGTCTCTATTCCGTCTGGTTTCCGGACGAACCACCCAGACAACCAGAATGCACGTATATTCAAAGTTGTTTTTGTGATGTACAAACATATATACAAACAAACAAATCGTATAGAATGCAAAGAAATGGCTTATACGTACAAAAGTGGAGGCCATATACATGCAAATTTTTATTTAATTTTAAATGGGTTGATTTAACATCATATACGATTTAATCTGTAATAACACATTCACTTTGAAAAGTCATACGATGTAATCCGATTTGATTTGTGATACAGTACGACGAAAAAATGAATCATCGCATATTGGTCGGAAATTTCATTCTATACGATTTAACTTAAACATAATGCGATGCATGCCGTTCTTATATGCGATGTTGACTTCAACTGTAGCAATTTACGATACTGTCTGCACATTGTTATACGACTTCTGGTTGTCTGGGCAACCTTCACATCACCGGCGGGCAACCCATCGACGCTGGACCTGTTCTTGGCAAACACCAGATTAGCCAAGCCGGTTGCCGTCAACGACCTGAGTTCGGACCACCAACCGGTGTTGACCGAGCTGGGCTGCAACGTGGACCCTGCACCGTGCCTGCGGAAGGACTACCATCGAGTCAACTGGGTCCAGTTTCGGCGCGTGGTCGACCGCCACATCGACGACAACCCACCGCTCGACACAGTGGAGGACAAAGACCGGTCCCTGGAGGGTCTCCATCAAGCCATATCCGTGGCTGACGAAGAGTGCGTTCGACGAGTTTCTGTGAGGGGTAAGTTTCAAGCAATTGATTCCCACACCAAACTCTTGATTCGGCTCAGAAACGTTTGTAGACGCCAGTTTCAGCGGACTGGGGATCTGCAGCGTAAATACGAAATGGTCGATCTGAAACGGCAGATCGCTTCCAGAATGGTCTCCATCCGGAACGAGAGTTTCGGGCGGCTTTTTCAGAACCTGGACGACCGTTCCAGACCATTCTGGAAGGTTGCCAAGGTGCTGAAGTCTCACCCCAAGCCCATTCCACCACTTAGAGTCCATGATGATCGGCTTATCACCAACGAAGAGAAGGCCAATGCGATTGGGGAGCACATTTCCCAGTCGCATTTGCTTGGCTCAAAAATCCCAAGTCCACTCGAGAACCAGGTTGCGCAGTGCGTCCAGACGTTAGATGCCTCCCCTTGTGCCGTCCCTCCAGAAGAACGGATTACAGAGGAACAAATTTGCTCAGCGCTGAAATACAGTAAGAACATGAAGGCTCCCGGGTTTGACGGAATATTCAACCTAGCGTTGAAAAATCTCAGCCCGAGGGTGCACTCGCTGCTGGCTGCCACCTTCAACAGATGCTTGGAGCTGCACTACTTTCCAAACATCTGGAAGGTGGCAAAAATCATCCCGATCCGCAAACCTGGGAAAGACCCTTCACTACCGTCAATCTACAGACCGATTAGCCTGCTCTCAGCGCTGAGCAAGCTGTTCGAAAAATTGATCCTCAGCCGACTAAACAAGTTTGTGGAGGAACATGACATTCTTCTTCCGGAACAGTTCGGGTTCCGTAAGGGGCATTCCACCAATCATCAGCTAGTGCGGGTGATGAATAACATCCGGAGTAACAAAGCTGTATCCAAGTCCACAGCCATGGCCTTGTTAGACGTCGGAAAGGCGTTTGACAATGTCTGGCATGACGGACTTATATACAAGCTTTGTAACTCCAACTTTCCACCATACCTTGTGATAATCACCCGTAACTATCTCCAGCAAATCGTTGAATAGTTCCCTTTCGGGACAATTTCCGATCCCAGCAGGTGTTCCGCAAGGGAGTCTGCTGGGACCACTGCTTTACAGCATCTACACGTCGGACATCCCTCCTCTAGGAGACGGTTGCGTGTTCTTCCTGTTCGCAGATGACACCGCGATAGCCGTCAAGGGTAGGATGCCTCGTGAAATTACGAACAAGCTCCAACGATGCCTTGACACCTTTACTGATTATGCCACCACGTGGAAAATCAAAATCAACGCCTCGAAAACCCAAGCGATCATGTTCCTTCACAGACTGATGTTACTTATCTCGGGATGCTGTTCGATGAGAAGCTCCTGTTCCGCTCGCACATAGAGAAAACCCTAGTTAAGTGCTCCGCCTTGGTTAGGTGTTTGTATCCGCTCATTTGCCGCAGATCCCGCCTCTCAAGGCAAAACAAACTGGCTGTCTACAAAAAGATCATAGCCCCCGCAATCTTCTATGCCGCCCCGGTGTGGGAATCGTGCGCTCAGACCCACAGGAACAAAATCCAGGTTGCACAGAATAGAGTGTTGAGGATGATCCTAGATCGTCCATTCGACACAAGAATAGCAGACCTCCATCAAGAGGCAGAAATTCCCAAAGTAGATTCCAAAATTGAGGATATGATAACCAAATTTATCCAAAAATGCAATCTTTCTGAACATGCTTTAATAAGCAATTTGTACATAGTAGGTTAAGTGTATATAGTAGAGTAGGTTAGTTTTAAGCTGTAAATAGTAGTATTAAGTTGTTTCTCTTAAAATTCTAAAAACAAAACAAACCAATCCCACCAAAGTGGTCGACCGTGTACTAAGTCTAGGACTGATTCTGTAAAACAAATTTTGAATTTTGCCCACACCTAAAGATGAAGAAAGCAATTAAATCACTTAGTAAAATGTATATGGTAATCATCCAAGTTAAAAAAAGCGAACTGAATTCAGTTACCTTTTGACCGGCCACTAGTAAGCATCAGCAGCAGAAGAAAGCAAACCTTTGTAAAGAAAAGCAGTAGAGAATAAAAGTAGTTACTAGCGTAGCCGTCGAGGTTTAAATAGTTACCCAGCACACATCCCTGGTTCGGAGCAAGTGTTGAACCCCACCCCCCAGCTCTTTTCAGAGCTCAAAGAGTTTGATTTAGATCGACGCTTGCCTCCTCCACCAATCATTGCCGATAAAGTCCACTGCCGAAAGGGAAAGTGCCTTCCCAGACCGAACAGGCCCATCGCTAAAACATCTGATATTTATCAATTTTATCTAGATGAACGCGTTATTGGGACGTTACTAATGGATATTTTTGGTTGCTATTGAAAATTTAGTCGATTGCTGAATTTATGTATCGGCCCAAATTAGAGACACTTAGGCCGACATTACCTGTATTTCCCCTATATTCAGAGAAGTCTATCAATATTCATTAAAATTCAGGGAAATACAAGGAACATTTTTGTATTTTAGGGAATAGCAATACCGAATTGTCCAAACCATGTTCCAACTTATGGATAAGTGCAAGAAGGAATCGATTAGTTGGTATAAATTCAAAATTAAAAAGCTTAAATAAGACTTCGAAGTTGGTAATCAAACCTCTGCATATTACAGATTCCAATCTCACAAACATGATATGCTTCAACAATTCAGTGTACGCATTTAGTGGCTCAAATTTACTAAAGGCACATGGCTTGGGCAAATCTTTGTTGAACTAAATTTTATTACAATTAGCTAAGTGAAAGGCTCAATAATTCGCCCACTTGGTCCAATCAATTAACCATTAATGTAAAATTCGTGTGTAGCAACCGTTCGACATAAGCGAACCCATACAATTACCATCAAATTAACGTATCTCATATCGCCAAATATTTCGCCTCCCCCCGCTAAAAATCATGATCTCATTAATGTATTTTTTTTTTTATTTTGCGCTTCCGCGGGGAATGGCGTCAACGACGGACTGCCGCCACTGCAATTCCCTTTTTCCTCCCATTTTAGCTGGCTGCGTTCGGAGACACCTCGCATGTGAATCAATAAAAAAAATCCCAACCAGGAAAAAGTGCAACAAGAGACTCATTAAAAGCAAACACAGCCTGCTGCTGGTGATAAGTGTGTGCAAATGTGAGCGAAAAAAAAGGTGCATTTAGTTTGCGGACACACCGAGAGAAAACCGAAGTCGTGACGGGACGTGAAAAACGAAAGTAGTCCGATGTTCCCTCCTGGAGGAATTCGCAAGACACTGGCATCCAGTCGCTCCCAAACTGAGTCCTGATGTGAGTTGGCAGATCCATCACGACGTGTGCGTGTGAAACAAAAAATGACAAATCTAAACAAACTCAAAGTGGTCGTCATTGGCAGCTCCAAAGTGGGAAAATCAGGTAAGTCCACGGCGTCGTCAAGTTTTATTGTTATTGATATCGTTATGGCGCACGGGCAAGGTCGTCAGTTGTGATGGTGATTGCAGTTGAATTGTTTTATTGGAATTTAATTGCTGTTCGGTAGCGAGTTTGAAGCCTTGACGATGTCCAATTAGGATTCCGTATGAAGGGAATGTTGGCCGCACGAGTAGTACGTGTCTGATGGATGATATTTGCATTGACCTAGTTTTACCTATTGGAAGATGAGCCACGTCTTCTTTTTCTTATTCGCATTTCAAACTTATTGCTTATCACATATTAGCTTATTGTGTGCTCTCAATTTATTGTTCTAAATGCAATTCAACAGTTATTATTTGAAAATTTTCGATGCCAATGTGAATTGTGAAGAAATTAATCTAGTTATAAAAAGTTCTGTAAATGCCGAAGAAGTGATGACGAGCCCGTTGAGGTTCTGGGAACGCCATCGAAGTTTTCAAAATTTGTGGGAACACTGTTGACTTTCTGGAAACACTTTTAAAGTCCTTGTTACCCCAATGAGCTTGAGAAATTTAATTAAAATTACGAGGATTTTAGAAGCTATAGAATTTTTCCTAAAATTATAGGAACTTTCCTGGAGTTATGCGAAGAAATTTTCGTGGATGAACTTTCTTCTTCTTCTTATTCGCATTTCAAGCTTATTGCTTAGCGCATATTAGCTTATTGCGTGCTCTCAACATAGTGTTCTAAATGCACTTCCACAGTTATTAATTGAGAGCTTTCGATGCCAATACCAATGCATGAATTTGTATATTGTGTGGCAAGCACAATGATACTCTATGCCCAGGGAAGTCGAGAAAATTTCCAACCCGAAAGATTCCCTCGACCGGACCGGGAATCGAACCCGCCGCATCCGGCTTGGTAATACCGTGCCTTTACTGACTAGGCTATGAGGCCCCTACGTGGATGAACTTGCCAGAACTTAAAGTTCGTCCCTGAAGTTTTGGGGAGAAGTTCCCTCAAATTTTCGGAAGAACCCCAAAAAACAATTTGAGCTGAATAAAAGCTGAATAAGCAATTTTTCAGCTGAAGAAGCATATTTTTGCCTGAATAAGCTCTTATTCTGCTTCCAATGTTTGTTGGGACTCCCTTCAAGTTCTGATAATAAATTCCCTCAAGTTCTGGGAAGAACTTCCCGCATGTTCTGGAATGAACTTCATGCAAGCTCTTGGAAGAACATCCTTAAAGTTGTAGGAAGAATTTTCTAAAGTTTAGTGAGGAATTTTTCTGAAGTTCTGTGAACAAGTTTCCCTAGCACCACACTTGGTGCAAAATGGTTGAGGCAACTTTTATGTGACTTATTTTAGTCACAATCAACTTGGGTTTCTAAAGTTCTGAGAAGAGTTTTGGGAAGAAATTTCCTCAAGTTCTGGGATGAGCTTCCCTTATGTTCTGGGAAGAACTTTCCTAAAGGTCTGGCAAGAACATCCCTGAAGTCATGGGAAAATTCTCCTCAAGTTCTAGGAAGAACTTCTTAAAAATTCTAGGAAGAACTTCCGTAAAGTTCTCTGAAGGATTTATTTAAAGTTCTAGGAAGAAGTTCTTCTCAAGTTCTGGGAAGAACTGCCCTGGAATTGAGGGAAGTAGGTTCCTGAACTTCTAGGAAGGGATTTTCTGAGATTTTGCGAAGAACTCTTTTAAAGCGCTGGGAAGAATTTCCCTTAAGTTCAGGGAAGAGCTTCTCTAATGTTCTGGGAAGAAGTTCCAAGAAGTTTTTCGAAAAACTTCCCTCAAGCTTTTACTGGCGGAAGAACTTTTCTAAAAGAACTACCCAATATGTTTGGTAGAACTTCCCTATACAGGGTGAGGAATAATTATTCGTTGTTACTAATTTAGTCGTAACTTTATTGCTTTTGTATTGAATTACAACATATTTATGGGAAATGTAGGTACACCAACATAGTTTATGATACTCACAACAATTTCTCAAAATGTGTTCCTTTGACTCGTACACACGCCTTCAACCTCTTAGGGATATTATCGACGATGGACGTTAGTTCCTCCACAGATATTGCATCCCAGACTTTTGTCAAACTTGCTTTCAGATGATCTAAAGATATGTGTGACTTAGTACAGGCTCAGGACTCAAGAATAGACCAGACGGAATAGTCCATTGGATTTAAATCAGAAGAGTTTGAAAGCCATTCATCTTTTGTCAAATATCTACGAAAAGATTTGCTACAAAGCTCCAGCGTCTTGTTCGCTCCATGCGATGGTACCGAATCCTGTTGAAATGTCCAATCTTTGTTTCGGGCGTACGTGCCCAAGGTGCAACTGTGTCCGTCAGCAGCTTCTGGTAGACTATTTGGTTGATTTTGACGATTTTTCGATAAATATTAACTGGAAACTGGAAACTGGATGATGTGATCTGGCAACATTCGTACGGTTAGAAGAACCCTTTGGCAATAGCTGGCGATCGTTTTGGTGGTTGTGGTATTGCTCAACAGAGAAAATCTTCTCATCGATAAATAAAGTCGTGCGATGCCGTCCATTGCCGAAATCCTTCAATAAAATCTTGGATTTTTGCTACCGATTCCTTTTCATCCTGTCATTTAGGTAATGGTTCTTCGAAAATTTGCAAGAATCCTAAATCCTTGCTTAGAATAGTTCGTACTGACTTTGGGTCGATTTTCAATGATTCTGTCATTTTTCGGACAGACCGTCTAGAATCTCGATTAATCCTAAGACGAAGTATGTTCCGGTTCTGAGGGGTTTTCGCACTTCTTTTTCTGCCTCTTCCTGAACGGTCCTCCAAATTTCCGAGTTCATGGTACCATTTTACAGCCTCCCGAACTGTTTGCGAAGGCATTTGCAATGTTTTTGCAATACGTGCCGGACGAATTCCTTGTTTATAAAGCTTAATTACCGCACTTCGTAGTGGACTGGACTTCATTACGGCAAAACACGTGAACCGATTCAAACGAAACTATAAACGGTTATGTATCAAGGTTTCAATTGGTAGAGGTGTGCTCATTTCAGCATCTGTCAAATTCGAGCTATACACTGAGAGAAAAAACTCGGATAATTTTTCCTCACCCTGTAGTTCTGAGAAAAACTGCCTTGAAGATATGGAAAGAATTTTTCTTATGTTCTGAAAACATTTTCCCTAAAGCTCTTGGAAGAACTTTCCAATAGTTTTGAAAAGATACATGGAAGTACATGGAAAAACTTCCCTGAAAAACACGTCCCTGGAGCTCTGGGAAGAGATTTTCTGAAGTTCTGAGTAGAACTTTATGAAGATCTGGGAAGAACTTCTTTCAAGTTCTGGAAAGAACATCCATCACGTTAAGTTTTGGGGAGAAAATCTCTGAAGTTCTGAATTAAACCTCCTGGGAAGTGCTTCTTTGAAGTTTTGAGAAGAACCTTCCTGAAGTTTTGAGCAGAATTTTTTTGGTATTCTTGGAAGAACATCCCTAAAGTTTTGAGAAGAACTTCCCTCAAGTTTTGGGAAGAACTTCACGGAGAACAAATTATAGCAGACGCAATTATTTTTCCGGTCAAAATAACTATATTGTTCAATTGTTTTAGAGATAACCCGAAACTATAGTTGATTAGACTATATATAGAGGGCAACAACTATAGTCCATAGTTGGCTCCTCGGTTGGCTCAACTATATTTTTCAGTAGATGAACAAACGTCACACTTCAAAATACAACTATGCTTTAGTTGATTCAAGAAAACTATTGTTAGGGAAGCAACATTTTACAATGTTTATTCAACGAACTGCTCTTCATTATCGACATATTAAGGAGGTTTGTTTTGCTGCTTTATCGATCTCAAAAACACAACTGCAAAATCATAAAAAAAAGTGAACAAGAACATTCAACTTAGATTTGAACCGCGTTTATCTGCGAGAGCCAGCTATCTTATCGCCTGCTCTACGCATCACAAGTTAAAAGTATGTGGATTTATGATGATCAATTGAAACCAAATTATATAAATAAATTACATTTGACGGTTGTTATAATTGATCAAAGATAAAGTTGAATTGAGTATAAGATGAACAGTTGGATCTATTAGGTAGATATGATTAAGTTGACGGTCAAATTAATGTTGTAATAGCTATAGGTTTCTTTCAAACAACAATATTTTTCCATGTGAAAGTAACTATTAGGATTGTTATCTTAACTTAACGAATTTGTTCTCCGTGTTTTCTCAAGTTCTGGGCTGAGCTTCCCTTAAGTTCCCGGAAGAACTTTCCTACTGGTCTGGGAAGAACATCCCTGAAGTTGCTAGAAAATTTTCCTGTAATTCTAGGAAGACCTTCCTTAAAGTTCTAGGAAGAACTTCTTGGAAGTTCTCTGAAGGATTTCTTCTAAGTTCTGGGAAGAAGTTCTACTCAAGTTTTGGGAAAAACTTCCCTGGAATAGTGAGAAGTAGTTCCCAGAACTTCTAGAAAGGGCTTATCTGAGATTTTGTGGAAGAGCTTTACTAAAGCACTGGGAAGCATATCCCTTAAGTTCAGGAAAGAGCCTCCCTAAAGTTCTGTGAAGAAGTTCCAAGAAGTTTTGAGAAAAACTTCCCTCCAGTTCTGCGAAGATTTTACTGGAGTTTCGGGAAGAACTTTTCTAAATAAAACTTTTGCGATGTTCTAGAAAGAACTTCCCAATAGGTTTGGTAGAACTTCCCTAAAGGTCTGAGGAAAACTTCACTGAAGATATGGGCAGAATTTTTCTTATGTTCTTAAAACATTTTCATTAAAGCTCTTGCAAGAACTTTCCAATAGTTTTGGAAAGATCGTACATCGAAGTACATGGAAAAACTTCCCTGGGAAAAACATCCCTGGAGCTCTGGGAAGAGATTTTCTGAAGTTCTGAGTAGAACTTTATGAAGATCTGGGAAGAACTTGTTTCAAGCTCTGCAAAGAACTTCCGTCACGTTAAGTTTTGGGAATAACATCTCTGAAGCTCTGTATAAAACTTCCTGAGAAGAGCTTCTATGAAGTTTTGAGAAGAACCTCCCTG